TCACTAGTGTATTCTGCTGATAACCTACGAAGAGGGGTTCTGAAGGTTCGTACAGTAACTATTCCAGTGAAACTGGCTGTCCTCAGTTCGGTGCACAAACCCCTGGAGAGAAATATTCTTTCTACTATTTTCTTCTACAATTTTCTAGTGTGCCTGAATACAAAAATATGTCCTGGGAGCAGATGAAGGCACGCGGAACATTTTCTTTCATTCGTCCTATTGTTCCTGCACAAAGCTTAACCTCTCACTGCACTTCATTTTTTAACGCATGTGCACCACGTCGGTCAAACTGGAGAGAGAGAGAATGTCAACCGAGAACAGGGCGTGTGCAGCTCTCGGTCACCAAAACGGACAGAATTCGCTCTCTGTCTTTCTGCCTCAACGTATTCAGATAATGGAAACTGAGAAAGATTGTATCCTTATGTTTTCAATAAAAGTAATTAAAAATAATAAACAAAATCAAATAATGTGACCCAACCAAGTCGAAACAGCTACACAGTAGTGCTTCCTAGATTTTCAGTTCACGCTTTGTTTACTCTATACGCAAGGAATTCTCGCCACGAAATTGAATCAAATCCTCATGCAACTAGTTGTCAGGTTGTACAAGTTTCCAGCCAAGTCATAACTCCGGAGACCGGTGCTAAGATGAGCATGGTCCGCGTGACCCGCAACAAGCTCGCAAAGATGGTCTGAGCTACATCGTGTAAATGAAAAAGGAAAAACGTTTCGATCGGCTGTCCGGTGGCCCAGTTGGCAGTATGCTTGAGTTCTGCCTGTGATGTCCCGGGTTCGATCCCCAAGTGAGTCGGTGGATTCGCAATGCAGATGAAACCGAACCAGGTTGAAGCAGTTGTCCAGTAGTGCTTCCTAGCTTTTCAGTTCACGCTTCATGTGTTCCATACACGACAGATTCTCCCCGTAAAAGTCAACTTTGACAGCATGGATATTCATCGAAACAATCAAGCATGACAGTCATCCGCAAAAGCTCCGTCAAGTGACCCATAGGAATACTGACCAGGTATGCGCCCCGATACTACTCGAAACTCAATCATTATGAACCAAATGGGATAATAACGGATCACTATATGCTGTCAAGCGATATTTAGCATTAGATCTATCGATCGGTGGGGATGTTTCTGAGATGATTCACTAATAGAGTTACTGACTAACTACTCACATTGAAGTCATCAGTGAATTTCTGTCGTTTTCGGGTCCCCAGTAAAAGCGACTTATGATTGTACGTTTAATAAAATAATCTGCAAAAGAACTGTATAAATATGGTTATCTCAGTATACATTTGTGTTCGCAGGCGAATAAAAAAGTGATATTTGCGTCTGCTCGAGCGGCCAATGTACATACAGGTGTTGACCAAACTCGTGCAACATCACCCTCATTTTGAAAATCCATTTCAGCTTGCAATACCATAATCATATATAGATGGCAATGAGTAAACTGTATTTATTCCGGACTTTATCTACAACATCTGTGTTCTTTGTTCATTGTTATCACCATGAATGTGCGCGACCTTGAGTGTCGCTATAAAATTTTCAATAGTTCGAAAGTTACAGCTCTGATTTAGAAAATATTTTGGGCAAAGTAACATGGGAGCTTATCCTTTTTTACAGATGATTCCTGTTCTATAAGAGTTTCTATTAAGTTGAGCACACTTATTCTAAATTTTTATTCTCTTTTCATTCAGTGCGTAGTAAATAAGCAAATTATTGAAAATATTCTTACCTAAATAAATTGTTAAATTGTTGGGCTACAGACTACTCACGCAATATCTCCAATACTGGAAGAACTAAAAACAGCCCAAGAAAGACACAAGTTAATCCTCGAAATTTGACCTTGAGATGCGCGACTCGTTTGGAAAATGATAGCTCAATTCGAAATGCAGCTGAGGCCACGTGATATAAAGCTGTTATCGAACGCCCAACAAAGCATAGCGTGTAATGATTTGACCAACAAATTCAAATCGAGTCGCCCGCTCATTTGGCAATGGGTTTATCTCACTGGTGGCCAACAAGTAATTCAGCATATTGTTGAAGCTGATCTACTGAGCCANCAGCTCTGATTTAGAAAATATTTTGGGCAAAGCAGCATGGGAGTTTATCCGTTGTAACAGATGATTCCTGTTCTATAAGAGTTTCTATTCTAACTT